TAACATTCTATGTCAATATTAATATATATTATACTTCATTTTATCATATATAGCTCATAACTTCCAGCATTTCCTTAAGTTAGCCCTCTGAGGGATCAATCAAATTCATTTGAAATCATCCTCTACTTCAAAGAAAAAAAAAAAAAAAAAAATGTTTCGAATATTCTCTTTCGGCGATTTTCACCCGATAAACGTTCCGTAAAAAACTCGAAACTCGACTTAAGCAATCTCTCCAGACGCCTTCTTTTTCTTCCCTTCCCCGTGCCTCGACCTTCTCGGAGCCTCGTCTTCACTCTCACTCTCTTCATTCCTATAGTTCTTCCCCACACTATATAAACGATCCTCCTGTTGGAAACCGGTGGTCTCTCTCTCTTGATTCCTCCCATCAAGACTCTCTTGCCCTTTGCTCTGTTCAAAACTGGCATGCCTTTCATTATTACCGTAAGGTCCCGTTTGTTCTCTCCTATTTGCCCGATTCGAGTTGTTTTGGTGAGGCAGTTGAGGCTGAGGAGGAGGATAGAAAGGAGGAGGCATCCCCACCGGGGGCCTTCCACCCCTCATAAAAGGAGCACGACCCGGTACTGGGCCCGGGCCCATCATCCCGAACCCAGCAGCTGGACGGCCCGGGAACATCATTCCGGGCCCAAGCCCGGGCCCACCAAAGTCACCAACGAATCTTGGGCCGCCGTACGGGTTGAACCCTCGTGGGCCCATGACGAAAGGATCAGGCGGCGGCATGGGCGGGAAGCCGGGAACTGCGGCGGGAAAAGGCCGGGGCCCACGGAAGGGCACGTGCGGCCCGTGTGGAGCCCACATCATTCCTCCCGGGCCGCCCCTTCCTCGGCCGTAAAAGTTCCCGTTTTCTTCGCTCTCTTCTTCTTCTTCATCTTCGTCTTCTTCGTCTTCATCCTCTTCTTCTTCGTTGTCCTCGAAAGGCACGATGTTTTCTGGTCTGTTGTCGAGGTTTACTCCCTTTGCCTTCTCCTCCTCTCGTTTCAGTTCTGCTGCGATCGAGACGGCCTAGGAGAGAAAACGGTAAATTGAAGTTACATTTTTTGTCCAAATATATAAATAGATTATAGAGAAATTAACTTCTAAGATAAATAAATGAATTAGTAAAACGAGGAAATATGATATATTTTGAGTTGGGGTTTTCGGGAAAAAAAGGGAATACCATAAGATCACTATCTGGCTCGAGGTAGAGCAATGATGCCAACTGCTCACCGACAGAAGGTTCAAGTTCTTGGCAGTCTCGACTTATCTGCAGTGGAGAAGAACAAATGTTTGATTTTTATCAGTATATCTGTAAGCTCCACCGAGTATGGCGCAATTTCAGGAATCAAAAGAATAAACTAGTCGTTGAATTATGTCAAACCAACAAAAAACAAATACAATATAATCAATTTTATCACTCTTGACATTTTTTCCAATCATCGACAGTTTGGTTCACGAGATTTCTTGATACCAATTGTGCACCATATGCATACAGAAGGAGAAAAAGAATTAGTTTTTCAATTCCAAAAAGATTGATACATAGTCTTTTCAACTATTTTAGTCTCAAATGAGCAGAGCAGTAAAAACGCATTAAAACCAAATTCGGAAAATATTTTAGATAGATATCATTATCAAATCAGACAAAAAACTTTCAGTATGTACCTTCACAGGTAGGTTCTCATTGTATGGGTTCCTCAAATGTCGTGTTTTGTCAAAGGACAGTTCACAGAGCTGCAAGCATTATATATGTTATGTCACACTATTCACAGATCAATGGCTAAATGCTAAAAGGTCTATGGAACCAAAGAATCTGGGTTCGATCCCCAGCAGAGTCCACTTTCCTTTTTTAAATTATTTTTATTTAGAAAAAAATGCAAAAAGGCAATAGCAACAATAGGTCTCGCATTAAAGATGACTTGCTAACAAAATAACTTGTCTCTGTATAATTGTCAATAGATTACATTGTATTTTTAAGTTAAAAGTTAAAACTATTCGATGATTCCAGAGCCAATGCATTACACAATTTGACAGGTCCCTCGTCCAAGATTTGAGCATTAAGTTCCTTGATATAAAATTAAGTAAAAAAATGAAAAAAAAAAAATAAAAAAAAATTCACCAAGTATGCTTAGTGGTGAGGACCTTTAACCATTTCAGAGCAAAGTTCCTTCCATAATGTGCAGTTCCATGAGCATGCTTCCAGTTCCCTCCACCAACAGAGCCGCCAATTCTAGATGTCATCTTCGCGCAACCCTGTTAATAAACCACAAGAAATATCAATCACTGAGCAATAAATTGGTAGCCTTTGTCCTATACAGAACCTCCTAATGTTATCAAAGTTTCCAAATCCTCATACGGAGTCCCCACAAATTAGCAACAGATATTATCATGACAGAAAAATGACCTGAAAATGCCTGGTCTTGTTAATCGAAAAGATTAAAATGACATTCTCAACAGACTCAAAAGCTTCATTAAGTTTAGCCTCGTTGCTTCTCTGAGTTGCCCATACTCCTTGTTGTACAGACAGTTCCAGATTCTCTCGGTTGCAACTTTTCACCACAAAGTACCTGTAATAACCATATTTCAAATTCATATGAGATACATGCATAAGTGATCATGCTTCGACCATTTTTTGTTTCCCTTATTTCTTTTTTTACAAGTCTGTGTGGGGGCACGTGAGAGAGAGAGAGAGAGAGAGAGAGAGAGAGAGAGAGAGAGAGAGAGAGAGAGAGATGTTCCTCAGAAAATTAATAGTAAAACAATCGTGGATCATGGGAATACAAACCACAAAACATTTTTAATAGTAACATCTCTCTCTGTCTCACATTCTGATGAAAGAAAAGTTCTAGTATTTATCTCCTAGTTCCTAGCTAACATCTTCGAATAACTCCATACAGCAGCTCACCAATATCAAGGCAAAGGAAACCAAGGGAAGTCAAGCTTTGTGAGCACGCAAAGAAGACAATGTCAGAAATAAATCTCAGTTACACGGGCATCCATTTGTATTCAGTTGAAGTGCATACTGCTTATACCAAAAAGAACTTATAGCCCCGATAAGAAAACTTGGAGCACAAAATGCTCTGTGGCTAATTTGTGACATAATTAGATGCCGAATCAACAAAAGAAGAAAGACAAGAAATGCTATGTCTGCTGTTCACAGAAGTTTTTTCTCAAAGATCGAATTACAAGATGAAAACCGAATATGGAAATGTTACCTTTATGCAGCTTACAAATACTAAAACAGATAAACAAACTAAGCTAGCATGAGGGGCAAAAGACACTTCTTTTTGCATAAGGATTTATCAGCACACATTTCGTGATTTCATATATTATTTAACCGAGCCAAAAAAAAAAAAAGCACATCAATTTAAAGCCCTAATCCAGTAAAGTTCACACTGTGAATATGTTCCTTGCACACAGCACTGTGATCAACCTCCAATAAACAAACTACTCAAAAAGTCTTATAATTTGCCTTAACAAGGTGCAAGCTCCAGATACAGCAAACTTCACTTCTATTGACAATGCTAGTTTGCAAAGAGAAAACAATAGAATATATGCATGTGACGCAATGTCTAGGTTTGTGGAA